TTAGTCCAGTCCACATTGGCGATAACCACCTGACACCTCTCCATTGTCAGTAATGATTTAATACCAGTTTTCTAACAGTGTGAAAAAAATGACCAACAGACAATAAATGCAGGGAAGCATGTATCCTTGCTCACCCCTATGCAAATCGCGATAAAATGCACAAACAAACTACCAACTACTTCTTCAAAAAAACGTCTCATTTTTCTCCAGGAGAATGAATGAAATGGAATTTTGATACAATTCTCTACACCCTAAAATCCCACCGACAAAATTCTCTCTTAAAAAAAATCTCGCCTTCCTTTCCTCGTCACACTTTGGTGCTTTTTCTCATAATATTCGTTTCGTAATGTAACGTAACAGGAAATTATTATCTTGAAATGCTCAATGTCAAGATCTCTCTCTCATGGAGAGGAAAAATGCAAAAATCAAATAAGTGAGTACAACACAACATAAAACAAGTCGTAAAATTAGGAAGGGAAAAAGAAGAACATGCTAAAATTAATGTTCATCAGACACGTTGCATTGCATGCATTGCGATGAGGTGAACTTGGCATTGCACTGATTGTATAATCGCCTCGTACCAAGAAGAAGAAGAAAAACGAGAAAAGAGTTGCCTCTCATTACGAAAATCATCATCAAAACAGGCCCCGCGGCTGGGGGGACCGTGTTTCGGGGGCAATAACAATTTATTTAAAATAATTAAGGGGAAATTTGGTAAACCCGCAAGAAACTAAAAATTATTTACCAAAATGTAAAAATATAAATTTTATGTCATTTTTTGTCAAATTATTACCAAAATTTGTGATTTTTTTAGAAGAATATATATTTATTAAACATTTAAACGTTAACTTTAAAAAATGAATTTTTTGTATCAAAATTTCTTAAAGAATATGATCTCGTGCTATTGATTTTGTTAAATCTTAAATAAATAAAATATCTTCCGGCGTCTTCATCTTACAAATTTGACAAATTTTCTTATCAAGTTTCTTTCTTCTAGTGGAATTTTCTATCGACAAAAACTGTGTCATTCATTCATTCAAATGTTTTACAAAATGTAAATTTTTGGATTTTACGCAGCTTATCAACTAATTAAGAAAATGCTGCAATATTTATGAAATATTTAGCAAAAGTGGAAAAATATGAATTTTGGGATATTTTTACGACTCCTCCCCCTTCCCTATCTCACCATATTATATTCATACCTGTTCAAAAATTTAGTTTTCATTCAAAATTCACTCATCCAGATTTTTGACTGAAGAATTTTATTCACATTCGATCATTTTCGTTCAAATTCATTTCATTTCACTTCACTTCATCTGACTTCATTTCTTACTTCATTTCTAACTTCACCCCTTGTATTAAGCATAGGGTGCAAAATGTAATGAGTGAGAAATCCTTTAATTCACAGTCATTCATCTGAAATAACGGAATCATTCAGTCATTTTCATTCAAATCACAGAAAACTAATTTTTATTCACTATCAATCTCTATCATAATCAGTCACATGAATGAAAGTGAACAGGTATGATTATATTATCATTTCCCCACCCTCCCCACTCACCCCTCCGCGGCCTCTGCGTCTCCTTCATCTATTACGAAATGAAATGAAAAATTCCTCTTCTTCGAGTACTTCTTCTTCTCATCTCCTTTTCGTTAAATTTGAGTTTTAAGAATTCATACAAAACTCAAACCAGCTTTTTTACCTTGACGATGATGATGTGATGATCCACCTACCTTGACACTGAAAATGCATGCTGTATGTACAAACATAAGACCAAGTTCTTTAACTTGATGCCGTATTCACAAACAGGATGTGAGTGAATCACAACCGGCGCAGAGAGCACATCGCGTCATCACCATAACATTTAAACTAAACTCTGCAATTATTTATTTTCACAAAGGAAATGGATCATTTCTACCAAAAATGCGGTGTGATAATAAATATGCAAGATCCTGGTCAAGGATCTCCTAAATAAATTAAGGCGTACACTGTTGGAAATCTGATTCCTCTGTGTTAAAGTTGATACCAGGTTGGTGTTAAAATTATGTACACCGGTCCGTAAAAAAATTTACAATGCATGTGTGATAGCCTTAATACCGAGCTATTACTACAGGGTATTACTTATCAACACCATTTTGGATATGAATACCGCTTGGTATTATTTTAATACTGGATTTCTACACTGTTAGAAACCTGGTACAGACAGGCAGCTATTGATTCCTCGGTAGTAATGTTGCTACCGGTTGATATTAAAATTATACCGGTCCGTAAAAATTTGCTATCTATATGGCAAAACTTTAATACCGAGCTATTACTATAGGGTATTAGTTATGGAGGCCACTTTGGTAGAGGAATATATGAAGAATACCGCTTGGTACTATTTTAATACTGCATTTCTAAGAGTGTATTTTCTTTCTACTACGACGACACGAATTTATGACGATAAAATATTTTAAGTTAAGATCCTGGTCAAGAATGTGGACAAAAATAAGAAAATTAAACCAGCGTGATCCTCTGATTAAGTTATTTGCACGAATTTTATGATGACAATACATTTTTTGCACGTTCATTCATCTACAAATATATGACCAGGGTTTCTATACTTCATTTTGCATGGTAGTTTTTGAAGAAAGGGTTATGCAAGTTAAAACTTTGGAAAAATCAGACTAATTACAATTTTTATCTATTGGAAATTTACTGCCCAATTTCGATTCACCTTCTCGCTTAACAAGCCAGCAGAATAATCAAAATTCGTATAGATTAAAATTTTAGTTAATTTGATTTTGGAAATTTTGAACTACAAAAAAAACTACTATAGAATACGAACCCTGAGGAAATTCTTGAGTCAAATGAAATCATTGCTTATAAAATAACCGGGTGGATTAAGATGCTAATTTAGTATTTGAGTAAGTTAAACGCCGTTCTAAAAAACTTTGTAATCTTTAAATTAGTTAGTTAAAATCTTACAAGATTGAAAAATTTTCGAAATTTCAAATTTGCATTTGCATAACCTTCCCTGCAAAAACTACCATTAACAAACTGAACTATACGAACCCTGTATAAATTAAGTCTTTCTTAAACCCACCATCAGACCACCGTCACATCCATCCATCCGTAAATAAATACCAAATAAAATAATAATGTCATCACTTAAACCTCAGTCAACACAACAAATCTATGTACGTCTGTACCAGTGTACTGTCACTCTTCTCCTCGTTCATGCAAAAAAAAATTCGCAAATAATATTCGCATCCCCATTCACTCATTCATTCATTCATTCAAGTCGTCCGTCCATTCCATTCCATTCCGTAAATAGTTTGCATTGCATGAATGAAAATAAAGGTGCGATTTTGCAATTTCGCAAGGTGAAGATTTGCTTACTTTACATCGTGCTAAAAGCTTTTGGCAATATGAATATGCGAAATTTGCATGTACATACTTAACTTTTGCAGAGATTGACTTTCGTCCACTTGAACATGTTTCTATTCGTCTTTCTTACAGAGATATTTTCTGAATGGAGTTTTATGATATGGAAAAAGCCAGGCTGGTTGCTTGGTATATGGATTGCATTGCAGTGTAAAAGCCGCACTTATGAATGGACGGGGGAGGAGAGAGAACTTTCGGGGGTATGACATCCGGCTTCGTGCTAAAATACGGACAGACTGGGGAACCAGTTGCGTTCGTAAAGAGGCGCATTCTGCTGCTGAAATGAAGTTATGTTATGGATTTACTTATTACCGGGATGGTTACATAGTTTGGAAGGTCGAATAAAAGTTTGGTTGGTTTTTATTAAGAGAAGAGAACTTGTTTGTTATTTGTTGATGAGGATGAGAAATCATTGACTTTTGATTAACTTACATCAATAAGTAACTGTTTTTCTTGTGGTGGAATGGTGCGTTACATGACTTTTTGAGAAGGATGGCAAATTGCAGGATGCTACCATTCTTTATGAAATAAAGATATTTGTGAAAATTTTGATTAAATTTTTTTAGGCATCTCAAATTTTCGATTGTTTTTTTTGTGGATGTAACACCTAGAAATCCAGGGAAGAACGGTGGTCAAAAAGTATTTTGGCCACCCATCTTTTAAAGAAGCAGAAAATCTATCATTCAATTTATTTCAATAATGTCAGTAATTCTGGCACTCGAATAAATCTAACAAATTTGTAACAATTAAAATTCATCAGAATTTATTTTTTCGGTGTCAAACTCCTGCATTTTTTAAAAACTTTTACATTTATCTTTCTCCATGCAAAAATCGATACAATTTGTTTTACCAAAAAATGCAAGTTTCCTGAACATTTTAACTTTTCAGAAATACCAACTTTTTCGGAGAATAACACAATGTCAGTAAACTAGTTAGTTACACGCGTATGTATAACCATAAACCGCAAAAAACAACACTAACGATGTAGGAAATGCAATGGCATGAAATTAATTCCATGTAAAAACCTTAACAATTTTAAAACCCTGGAAAATAACATAATAAAATGAACCAAATTTCTTCTTCTTACATTCTTTTTAAGGAAAGGTATAAGATTTCCGCTTTATGTGGTCCGCTTTATGTAAAAATAATAAAGTGTAATCGACCAACCAACATCCGTCGTAATTTGCATATATTCAATTTGTATTAAAACCAAGGACAAAGCTTTCAGATATGTCAAGCTAACTTGAGTTCCACCAGCTACAAGATTCATAAATACGTACTTAACTATTCATTATGTAATTGCATTAAAATTATTAACCCTGCAACTTACCAGCTAAGTGCATAAAAAACTAAGTAAAAATCCAGTGATTAGCGTAAATATTGATACCGTTCGTGTGCAAAATTTGCAGTGCAAATATTTACGCCCATGCAAAAATTCTTGCAGAAATAAAATTAACTAAACTAACTAACTTAATTAAATTAATTAAGCTATTGAAACACTAATAAATTTCCTATGAAAAATTCAATTATTTAGGCCTTGCTAAATTTCCTATTAATAAATTCAAATATTTAATCACTAATAAATTTCCTATGAAAATAAGCATTAACAAATTTCATATGAAAAAATCGATTATTTAAACACTAATAAATTTCCTAATCATAAATTTCTTTAAAAATTCTCAAAATGAGAGTCTACTATTTTCTGCTACTATTTTTCGCCCTATATTTTTCTACAAATTCTGTCTCCTCTTCGACCCTATTTCTCTGCAAGGATTACTCCGATTTGAGATTCTCATCTGAAAACGATACAGATTTTAACGTCACGACAATAATTGAAGAAAATTTCCTTTTCGTTCCGAAAAATTTGATGTCCAACAATGCCAGTACAACTTTCGGGTAAAAAAATTAATCAAAAAACAGGATTTTATTTCAAAAATTTGGCAATTAACTTTCTTTTTTTACAAGTTTAATGAATCCGTCGTCACTAAAATGTCATCAAAAAACGGTCACCTTAATAATGCAACTTGGAGATGGAGATGCAATTACCGGAAGTGAAAATAATGGTACCTCCACCACCACCACAACTTCTACGACGACCATGTCACCACGGCACGTGTCATTGTTACCACTTGGAAAAGTTGAACGTCCCAAGGGACCAAAAAAACCACCAACAGTTCCAAAACATGTCAAACTTCGGGGGAAAATCGGTCCATTTTTTACCCCAGAGGGTTACCTGGAATATAACCATGCTTACTACAACCCACAAGACTTTTGCGTTTCAAGGTAGTTAATTAACCAAATTTACAGAGGTGCATGTGCGAAATATTTTCGAAAAATATGCAGTATTTTGAACTCCGTCCTTCCCAAGGTTTGGCTTTCCAGGGCTGTTACACCCACAAAAAGAGGAAAATCTACGTCGAGAAGGCAACAGTCCCATGAAAATGCAGATTTTATGAAGAAATTAGCTTCTCATCGCTGTCAAAATACTTTATTTTTAAATCGCGAAAACATTGTATTTTGGCACCGATAAAAAGTCAATTTCTGAATAAAACCTGTATTTTCGTTCGATTGTAAGAGTTTAACGCCAAAAACAAATCTGGTGAATTTTTAATTATACTAAAGTTATTAGATCCGTTTTTCCGATTTTTGAGTGTGAAATGAAATTATTTAAATAAAATGAATTATAGATTTTCATGAGTTTCAAAATATTCAAAATATTAAATGCGTACAGTATTTTGAGCTCCGTCCTTCCAGGGTTTGGATTTCCAGGGGTGGAAAAACTCACAAAAAATGAATCTATGATTAGACGACCACCTACCTGTCGCATTTTAAGAAATTAAAATTCATTAGAATTTTATTTTTGGTGTCAAACTCTTGAAATTTTAGAAAACTTGTTGATTTTATGTTAGTTTGTCTTCGTTTACAATTTTTTTCCACTTTTGTCAGCAATATTAACATATTAAAGCCGAAAAGGCTTATTATTATTTTATGCGAAAAAAAAGTTATTTAGATTAGATTTGGTTTAATTTTTTTGCAATGACTGGTATGAAAATCGACTATGCGAAATACATTGTTTTTACAAGTTTTCAGTAAATAATATATTTTGGTAGCGTTAAAAAGTGAATTTCTTTAAAAAAAACTTGGATTTTCAACTTTTTACTATCTTCACCGGGTGGATTTTCGTCTTTTTGTGGGTGTAACACCCCCGGAAATCCAAACCCACCGCTCGAAATAGTACATATTTTGACAAAGTATTTTTCCATCTCTGTTTTTAAAATCCTAAAAAAATCTGTTTCTATCATTAAATTTAGTTTAACAATTTCGTTTGAACCTAAATTAAGCCGGGGGTTAGCCTATACATCTGTCACATTTTAAGCAATTATATACAACTCTGTAGATTATTATTTTTCGGTGTCAAACCTTGCAACTTCTGAAAACTTGGTACTTTCTCCGAGCAAAAATTGTACAAGAATTTTCATCATTTGACTGGCAAGGTCTAGAAACCGAAAAGAATTCGTCGTTTTCAACCCAGCAAAATTATTCAGATATGATTTTTTTTAATTTTTTATTAAAAAAATCGACCGGGCCAAAAAAAAAATTTTATGCTGCCTGCAAATATGCCAACTGAAACATTAATGCAAATTAAAGCGCCGGAATCGACTGGGATTTTTGGGGCTGTTACACCCCCAAAAAGACAAAACAGTAGGCAGACTTACGAAAATACAGGTTTTCTGAAGAAATGAACTTTTTATCGCTGTCAAACTGCATAGTTTTCACGATTTACCAAAAATACAACGTTTTTATGAAAGTTAATTTCTTCCAAAAACCTGTATTTTTATATTTGTATTTAGATTCTGGTCATTTTTTAGCTGCAGCATTCTCAGAAATTCAATCCTTAACGCTCAAAATTCTGAATTTAAGGAATTTAATTTAACGACCTCCCGAAATTTTCAAAAATTTACAATTTTTTCTCCCAAATTTAGAATTTCCAATGAAGAAATCGAAGTTCAAATTTGTCCCTTAAACTGCTCTCGACCAGGTCATCTTTGCCTCCCGAAGTGTTGCGGGGTCGGGGAGGTCTTGGTTTACTGGAATTTTACATGCATGCCGACGCCCACGCCGTGGACGCCGTTTTTGTATGACGACGTCCACACTCGACTTTCTCCCAAGGAATTAAAGGCCTTGGAAGTGCATTACGTTCGACCCACGTTGAACTGCAAGTGGGAAGAGTGGGCTTTTTCGGAGGTGAAAAGACCCCGAAAAAATACCACGAAACCGCCAGATCCCGCTTTTTTGTAAGATTTAAAAAAAAAATTTATGAGTTTTTTATGAAACATTTTGATGCACTGTTTTTTGCAATAGTTTCCTCTGCTTGTAAAATTTGTATGAATTTTATGAGCTTTTTGTATGACAAAATTTGCATGCACTGTTTTTTTTGCAATTGTCTCTGCATTTTGTAAATTTATATGAAAATGAGCTTTTTGTATGAAAGAATTTTCATGTACGATTTTTTGCAATAGTCTCCGTGTCCTGAAAGATGGGTCCATTATGCACATCAAGTAAGCAATTTTACTATTAGTAAAATTATTGTGAACAAAATTATAACGGAATTTGAATGTGTTTGATCATTTGAACCAATTTTGTGTATACTAAATTTTAAAAAATACTTATAAAATTGTAGAAATATCGATTTTCTTGCATTTTTTCGCTAAATTATTTTTTCAAAATTCAATCAAAATTTCCATAATTTTAAATTTTAACTATTACATACTTTTGCGAATAAAAAGCTGAAATACATATTTGCAAAATTTGGAATGTATGAAAATCTAGTTAGAAATATTGGAATAATATAGAATAATTTTCCATTTTTAGCCTGAGTCATGGCTTATGGAACCATGTCTCTCTACGATAACTCTCTTCAGCTTATCCGCACATCTTAAAGTACATATTTTTCCATATTGATTTCAGCATAAATCGGAGATGGAGCAAAATGTCGCCGGAACTTTATTGCATCGACGGTTTCGTCAACTGGAGCGAAGGTGGTGGGAACGTGAGCTACGTGAAGGACGAAGATCACCAAGTCGTCCTCAAGTGTCCACCCCTCCCGAACAATTCCTCCAGTTCAAAAATAGTAAACCCCACAACCGTGGTATTTTTATAAATTTCACAATTAAGATATTTATTTCAAAGAATCAGTGTTTCTTTTGTACATCCAAAATTACTTTTGGATTGGACACCGTCCAAAAGCGTCCACAACTGTCCAAAATAATTTTGGACGTCGAAAACTGTCCAAAATAATTTAGGGCGTCCAAAACTGTCCAAAATAATTTAGGGCGTCCAAAACTGTCCAAAATAATTTAGGGCGTCCAAAACTGTCCAAAATAATTTCGGACGTCCAAAACTGTCCAAAATCGTCCAACCTTAGAAAATGGGGTAAAATGTTACAAGTTCTTTATTAACGATTTTTTTTGCAAAAAAAATCCACAGATGTGTAATCTCTCATTAATTTTGAGCATTTTGATGTTTAACATTTTGAGAAATTTTGAAAAACTTTTGTTTTAACACGTTGTCTTACGAAGAATTAAGAAATTTTCTAAGTCGAACTTCACACCAAAACGGATAACCAAAAATTAATGGGAGATTACATGCACGTCAACGAATTACCGAAAAATTCATTAATAAAGAACTGTACAATTTTTCCCTATTTTTGGACATTTTGAACGTCCAAAATTCCCTGTCCAAAACTGGTTAAAACCGATTTTGGCCAGGGGTTAAAACCAGAGCGAAACCCTGGCCAGACTTATCAGAACTTTTGAATTTCAGGACGCACGGAAGGACGACCTTTACGCCGGGGTTATGTATGTCGCCTCCGTTTTCCCCTTTCTCACCGCCCTCGTCCTCGCCTTGCTCTTTGACCGACAGAACATTCACGGCTTGACGATCCTCTCGAACTGCGTGAGCCTCTTCTTCTTCTACGTGACGCATGGGACGGTGTACTACATGGCGCAGAGGAGGAATCTCTTGGGCGACAATAGGTCCCCGACCTGCCTTTCGATCGCTATTTTGTCGCATTTCTTCTTCCTCACGACGTTCGCGTGGCTTACCGTTGTCAATTTTGACCTCTGGTTAACATTCAGGTAGGTATTTTTAAGGAGAGGTCAACGCCGACCAACGGTGACAGTGGTGGCATAAATTGGGGGAATTTCTGTGGCGTCGGTGCCAATTTTGGTGATTGTTCGGTGGCCTCGGTGCCAAAATTTTAGCAATTTTTCAGCGGCATCGATGTGGCGTCCGTATGTTGAAAGAATTGGAAATCAGATTTATCGGTGGCGCCGGCGCATAAAATGCCACCGGTGCCCGCGCGGAGGCACGTACGATCGGCGGCGTTGATCTCTATTTTTTGGGGACAAAATAATTTTCAGGAATTAATCTGTTTTTTTTTAATTTGGCTGCTAGATCGATGCGACCCATTTCGAAAATGTCGAAGAAAATGAGACGATTCCGTCTGTATTCGTTCATCGGGTGGGGAGTCCCCTTCCTCTTCATGGCTGTCTTTGTATTCCTCGACTTTCATTACAGGCGAGTATTAGGCATAAAAAATCGGGTTTTTCGGTTTTTAAAATGGGTTTTGTTTTAAAAAATCGATTTTTCACAATGAAAATTATTTCGGAGCTAGGAGAATTAATTGTTCTAAAGTATTTTTGTCTCAAAATAATTATTGTAAATTATACTTGTCTAAAAACATTTATATTTGGGCTAAAACCGATTTAAACCCGGTGAAAGTCGAGAACCGGATTTATAAAAATTTCGAAGCCCGATGTTTCAAAATCTTCCAATTTTGAATGCCCTCTTATCACCTTGCCTTAATTAATCTGCACATACTTTTACAGAGACTTCCGGACCGAATTTATCGTCCCGGATTACGGAATAAAAAGTTGTTACGTGGCAAGCTGGGCTCGTCGGGAGTACATTTGCTCCATCGTGTCCACCATCATCCCCATCAACATCATCCTCATCGTCTCCACCTTCAAAATTTTTTACGATTTTGATAAAGGCAAAAATATCATGCCAAAAAGGGTCAAAGGCGACAAATACTCGTAAGTATGCTTAAAAATTGAGCATACTCACGTCACGACATCGTCTTATTTCGCATCGTAACTCATTTTGCAAACTTACAAAGCTAAAAAATTTGGGATTCGCAAAATATGAATTCGCAAATCTCGCAAAGCAAACCTGTAGAAACAGTTTTGTTTTGCAAGTAGGCTTCCATGAATTATTTGCAATTTCTAAAGCATTGGAAAGTGATACGTTTGCGAATTAAAAACATTCCCAATTCCTGAAATTTGTAAATTTGTGAAAAAAATCAGCCAAATTGCTGGATAAATTTGCAAAAAAACATGGTCTGCAAAACTTTACAAGTTATGATGCTTTGCTCAATTTGCGAAGGTTAGCGTGAGTGAGTACGCTCAAACCAAAATGTGTAAATAATCGCACAAAAATGTGCAAATATTATATTTCTTAAGGTTTCATCTCTTCCTAAAACTTTTCCTCGTGATGGGATCAATCTGGTCGTTTGACGCCATTTTCTGCTGGTTCTACAACAATGGGGAACAATCCCCTTGGTTCATTATGATTCTCGATTGCGCCATGTTCCTCCAAGCGATCGCAATTTTTGTAATTTTTTGCTGCAACCGACGCACCATGAAGCAATTAGAGGAAAAATATCCGTGCTTTAAAAGTGAGAAAAGTTTCCTCCGAAATATTCAGGGTATTCATTACGATTTCGCATTTCATTAACAAAACGTAAAATTCGCAAGTTTGCAAAAAAAATTTGGCATGCAAATTCATTTGCGAATCACACATCTGCAAGTCTACGGTTAAGCAAATATTAATATTCTCAATCTAGAAAATTTTCTGAGGGGTAATTTGGTTTTTGAAAAATAATACCTGCCAGGAAACCTTTCAGAAATTTTTCAGACTATTAATATTGGCTGAACCGTAGTTTTTAGTTCTAAAATTTTTAAAGTGAATATCAATTTATTTTCAGACAAGCTTTCACTGACAAACATTTAAAAATTCAATATTCAAAAATTTTACATATTAAAAAAAATATCTAATTTTCATAATTTTAAAATTCATAATTTTTTCCAAAATTATCTATGCTGTGATATGCAAACTGATAATGAATACCCCAATTATTCCATCTTCGGAAGAAAAGCAGCATGATTTTTTACAGCATATTTTTTCAGCCGTGTTCAAACCACTCAGAAAATTGTTGAAAATTCAAGAACCCACGATCGACAATACGGAAACGACGCCAGCCACGCCGGGACAGGGGGCGAGAAAAATGTCCACGCTTTCAACATCGACATCCGGAACGATGGACAGGAGGAAGATGACGACACAATAGGTCAACCAAGTACCAACGTCATTGATGACGCCAAAGACGCCACGTCATGATTTTTCCGTGCAATAAAAGAACTTTGACTTCTTAAAGCGTAAACACGTCATTGTTTTCATTATTAAATAAATAGTTGAAGCGTATACTTTCTGCGATCCGTCTGTCCGTCCGCGTCTCCGTCAGAATAATAACTCCCGAACGCACCAAATATTTTAAATGGTGTTTTATCATCTCATTTTTAAAGTATGAAGAACTTCCTTAACTGACCTTCAAGGTCGAAAGATCATAGGTCCAGGGCAGTGATATATACATCACTTCCGCTACGTCATTATATCTGCTGTTTCTGTAATGACACAAGGCATCAATCTTTACATGACACATCTACGTACGCACATGTACTCCCAGGATTACTCATTTACATGCATACATTGTTGTTCTTCTAATCCGTGGTATAAAATACCTGACTAATGTTCATACCAAAGAACGTACTACACATAATTGCAATGATAAACAACACAAAAACATCAGCCACGGACCAAAGCATGTCTTCTCTCTTATTGTCTTAACGTCTCAACCACAATGACTACTCATCCACAATTTGTGGCATTTTTCCAAAATGGGCTGGGTTCACTTGGTTTCGTTCGTTCGTAGGAAATGTATTATCTTTACAACGTATCTTTGCAACGAGTAATATGATTCATGCAGACGAACTTGACGCAAAAAAGTGGACCATCAATCCAATCCACCAATCCAGCAATAAAACATCAAATTAGACCCGAGGTAAGAATCAATTGACAAGAAAAATGCGGACCTACTCTGTCTTCCACGAACCCGTTTAATGACGGGTTAAGAAGTCGTCAAGTTAGACATTCAGCGAAAAAGTTTGCAATATGATGGAACCATGGGCACTTTTTTTGCAATGATATTTTGCACATAGCAAAGAAACTCGGTGGATTGGATTGGATTGGACCACAAGTTATAATATAATTTTAATTATACGTCAAGTACACCAATGAATCGTCAATGGCGATGATCGTCTCGCCATGCAAACGTCGGTGTCTACATAAACGATCATCTTGTGGTGCAAGGTTATAGTTGTCTCTTCTCCATTGCGGGAGGAAATCCCAGAAAATTATTAATAAATAAATATATTAATAAGTACTCCAATTATTAAATTAATCACCAATTAATAAATTCTATTTAAAGTTTGATAACTAACTAAATTAATTAGCACAAGCAGAAATTTCCTGGAAGTGGACAAGTTATCATAACGTAGCCACAACATTGCAAAAATTTACATACGTACGTATGATTTTGCACGAATTTGCATACGTGTGAATTTGCTCAAGTGTATTTAAATTGTGATTCCTCGCCAACCAAAAGTCAATCATTTTCAGTTTCTGAGAACAACTCAGCTTACATAATTAACCCTCACATTTTTTAAAGTGACATTATTTTGTGCCCGTGAATAAGGAAAGGATGTGGCGTGGTCGTCGCAAATTATATTAAGTTAACCGCACACAGAAAGAAAGAAATTGGCTGAAATATGGTTTCAATGCTGAATATCTAGATAAGTAACAGGACAAATCACTATACATACATTTGTACAAGTTGTCTTTCCTCGGAAAAAATGGGTCGTTGATAAAATGCCGAGAATCGCGAGTCAAAAGTCACATTAAGCCAAGAATCATGGTATAAAACGTGAATAGGAAGTGTGTAAACTCTACATTCTCACAAAGTCAAAAGACATCCCGACAACAAGAAAACATAAATATAAATACTGTGTTTAAAAAGTCGTGTAACATCTCGTTATCAAAATCAGTACGTTGTTGACCACGCGATAAGTACATAACATATTTACATATTTATGAATCTAAATACACTAAATACACTTCTAAATAGTTCATCAAACTGTCAAAACATTGCGAAATTAAATTAAATTAGTGCAAAAATTTAAACAAACAAAATGTCTCAATTTACCACGCAACGCGTCCTCCTTTCGTTCTGCTGCTTCGTTCTCATTTCGCACACATTTTTCGCAAGTGCGAGAAACATCCGGAGTGCGTATCAACAACTAGATTACGTCGATGATGGAGAAGAAAATTGGCGAAATGATGAACCAGGAGAAAATTGGCGAGGAGTGCGAAATCATCAAAATTACGAAGATCTCCTTTCACTCGATCCATCGTGGGAGATGAAACACGACAATTCGCCGAGAAGGTCGAGATGGGCGATGCCGGTAAGATTTTCAAAAAATTAAATAAAATTTGGAAAACATAAAAATCCAATATTTCTAAATTTTATATTCAAATTTTTATAGGCAAGCGGTGTAACCGACAGCGAACTGCGGTGTCCCCCGGGATCAACGCCACACTCGTCGGGCACACATTGCGTCTATGATGACGAGGAGTATTAAGTATTATTTATGTAGAGATTTGCAAATTCCTTACGCCATAACTTGCGCCAATGTTATACATAGTTTAACTATGGTGCAAGTTACACGTTTTATTTATTTACCGTACCAATTATGTATACCTAATTTATGTAACTTCCTTACAAATACCTTAATTAGTAATAATTATTTAATAATTTTTCTGATAATAGTCAATCAACCTGCGCCAATGTTGTAGTATAACTATGGCGCAAGTTAGCATACAAAGAGTGGACAAGGTTTTATCATAGGTGCCAATTATAATTTAACTTAAAATACTTACGTATCTACATATAAATATTTAGTATTTTTTTGATAATAGCCAATTCAATCAACCTGCGCCAATGTTATTGTTTAACTATGGCGCAAGTTAGAAAGAGTGGACAAGATTGTAGGATACCAAATTAAATATACTTATCTAACTTGTAAATATTAATTAGCTAAATATTTAATTACTTTTTTGCTAAGATTTAGTCACTCACTCAACAGTTGTCTCGTCAATGTCAGTATTTATCTATGTAAAATTATCGATTATATTGAATTCCTAGTGAAAGCTTGTCCTTAAATAAATTGACTTTCACTTTATCCATAATTCCGTCCAGAATCATTAAATATTTTACAATGTCAGTCTGAACAGTGGCCGCGGAAGCTGTGGGGACATCTGGGGACATTGACATTGTAGGATGGAGGAGGCAGGGGTTTGTATAAGATGGGCAGATGATGCTGAACATCGAACACCCGTGGGGGCATTGTCCCTATGTCCATACCCACGCTTCCGCGGCCACTGAGTCTGACTGAACTGATGCGTACTGTAGATTATGATATGTAAATGCCGATACAAATTCATAATTAATTTCATATCCACCCATTCCAAAGTCTAATCAAAATTGTCACAAGAAACCTTGCACGTCCGCATATTTTGCGTATCGATTACAGATTTTATGGATTACGGGACATGATATGTAGTCTTTTTGCACATAGACAATTATTTTCGCGAAATTGCGAATGGAATGGAAAAACCATTCCTTCAATAATTCGTCGTCTTTAATAACTTTAATATTCAGCCAAAAAGCGCAGAAGGCAATTTTAATGAAGGAAAATTACTGGGGTGGCGTCCTTGTATTAGTTTTTGTTTTGCCCTTAAAAAATAAAAAATATTGTCTTCCAGTACAATAAACTTTATGAGGTGAGGACAGTGACCGCGGAAGCTGTGGGGACATCTGGGGAAATTGACATAGAAAGAAAGGGGTTTGTATAACATGGGCATATGATGGGGACATCGAACAACTTTAGGGACATTGTCCCTCTGTCCCCTCCAGCTTCCGCGGCCACTGCATCATATTCATAAATTTGAGTAGCCTGAATTTTCCCAGTGGCCGCGGAAGCCGTGGGGACACCTGGGGACATTAACATTGTAGGATGGGGGAGGGAGGGGTTTATATAAAATGGGGAGATGATGCAGACATCGAATAACCGTGGGGACATTGTCCCTCTGTCACCACGCTTCCGCGGCCATTGATTGGTGAGCTGCAGGGTAATTATAAGAATCTCTTAAAGGGCATGGCATGCCAAGAAACTGTACAAAAAAGCAACCCAATGACCATGCCTGGAATTTCTTACATGAATTTGGAAGTGTTCTCCCCACTAATTTTCAAAATGTTCTTTGAAAACAGGGAAAATTCCATTTTTCCAATTTTTTTGCTACACTGAAGGTGGTCAATATTGAAATTACTTGTTTAATTATTTGATTTCTATGATTATCATGTGTAAAAAGTATGATTTTAACTTGGTAAGGTCGATATAATGTAAATTGACTGATTTGAGCAACATCATCGTTCATTTTTATCATTATTAATAATTTTTAGTTTAATATCTGTCCCTATTGAAAAAAAATTTTCAGTATTTTTTCAAAGTGTTCTCCCCGCTTTGCGGGTTGGTGGGGTAAGAAATTCCAGGCATGCCAATGACCCAAACAAACCAACATTTACTATTCCCGACCAATTATATTTGACGACGATTCTTCATAACCAGGTAGACTTTGTTTTTCAAGAAAATTGCATAACCCTTAAAGCATCACACCACCAGACAGAGGTGGGCAAAAAAAAATTACTGCGTAAAAATAAGTAAAATATTTTGAGCCTTTTCTTCCCAGGGTTTGGATTTCCGGGGCTGCTACACCCATAAAAAGACGAGGATTCACGTGGAGAAGGCAACAATCACTCGAAAATACGGGTTTTGTGCAGAAATTACCTTTTTATCACTATCAAAATACATTATTTTTCAAAAAATCGTGAAAACAATTATCTAATTTTCATATTGGTTATTGCAAAAAATTCAATCAAATCTAATCTGCAAAACTTATCTGTACGAAATAATAATTATTCTTTTCGGCTTTTAAACCTCTCGAACTGACAAAAGTTGAAAATTTGTAAACGATTTTTGCCTCGAGAAAGTAACACCATTAAGTTTTTTGTTAAAATGGTAAGAGTTTAACACCAAAAATAAAATGCTAATGAATTTTAATTTCTTAAAATGCTCATTAGGTCAATAAATTATCTTCTGGCAGATTTTCGTCTTTTTGTGACTTTAACAACCCCGGAAATCCAAACCTGGGAAGAACTCAAATCAAATATTCAATGAATTTTTATGTCATCGACACACTACAATAGGACGTCATTCCTTGTTTGTCGTGATGGTGTCGTCGTCCGTCCTTCTCCTTCCTTTGAGGTGAGACGGAGTGAAAGTAAACACAGCCAAGCAAGGCAAGCAAACTTTCACCCAACTTTCCATTCCAACCCGGGTTTGCAAACAGTGGCCGCGGATAATGTCCCCACGCTTGTTCGATGTCGGCATCATCGCCCCATCTTATATAAACCCGGCCCTCCCCACATCCTACAAGATAAGTGTCCCCACAGCTTCCGCGGCCACTGGGAAAATTCATGCTACTCAAATGCATGAACATGATGCAGTGGCCGCGGAAGGGTGCGGACAGAGGGACAATCTCCCCACGTTTGTTCGATGTCCGTATCATCTCCCCATTTTATATAAACCCCTGCCTCCCCCATCCTACAATGACAATGTCCCATAATGTCCCCACGGCTTCCTTCCGCGGCCACTGCCTGCAAAAAGCAAAACCTTGCAATTCTGCTTGAAAAGTAATTATGTATCTATTTCGCTTCTAGGTCAGCTCACCTCACCCGAATCCCGGGTGGCGGTGGTGGTCGTGATAAACTAACTGTGGCATCAAATAATTTAAATCGATTCCTTCCCTCGGAGGACATACGTCTATGTATTGATCGATATTCATTTCAAACAAACTGCTAATTCACCGTAAAAAAGAGAGAGAAAAAAAGACATACTTTTCCTCGGTTCACTTTCTCTTTTTTCCAAATTACATCATACCGCAGCGCGTATTATCTCGTCAATCCCAAGGAGAGAGAAAGCAGGCACAAATAAATATGCACCGTCGCAATGCATACAAATTCTTGTCGACCTTGTCAAAGTCGTTGCTTTCCTTGCAAAATAAGTAAATGGTAGCGAACAAACAACTTTTATCAATAAAGATCGTTACAAAAAGAACAGACTAAAATTTAAATATATATTATTCATTCATGGAAAATTGAGACAAGTAAAAAATTTCGATATTATAAAATCTCATCTTTACCGTCGAAATAAAATTACAGCAAAATAAAACGTATAGAAAAACGTATAGAAACGTATAGAAAAAGGTTGTTCAAATCAGAGCAAATTCCGCAAAATTGGGACAAATCCTAAATTTTGACATTATGATACAAAATTTCATCTCGTTCCAAAATGCACAATAAGAAACAAGATGAGAGCAAATCCTGATATTAGAAAAGTGAGACAGAAATCAACAATTTCTCTGCAACATCAGGGCCAAATCTCGTCTCATTTTATTCCTTGCTAAACAAAATACTTCCGCAAATACAAATCCTTAAACAAACAAAAGTCAAAATTTTAGATGCACTTTTGTCTCAAAAAAGTCAAAAACTTCATTTCCCATTTTACTCGTAAAATATATTATTTTCATTTTTAAATTTCTACACATTTTCATCTTAACTATCAAAACTTTTTTCCACTTTGTTTGCAAACTATATATTTTTTTAAGATTCATCATCGTCGTCAAAAGTCATCATCAAAAATTTCATGATTCATTTCTCATTATATTCGTAAAATATCTATATCATTTTCATTTTTAAATGTTTACACATTTTCATCATACCTTCCAATTTCTTCATCTTAATAACAAATTTTATTTTTCTTTTTTCAAAAATGCATCATCGTCGTCAAAAGTCAACAACAAAAATTTCATAATTCATTTCCCCATTGTATTTCTAAATATTATCACAAATTTTCATATAAAAAAAATCCCATTTAAATCCACCCACACACAGAAAACCCAACCACTGCAAATCTCCTAAAACTCAACCCTTTTCTCCACTTTCACCACCACGCGAGAATGTTCATGAAAAAAAATCATAATTTCATTTCCCATTTTATTCCTAAATATCACACACCTTAAAAGAAATTCATAATTCATTCCCCATTTTATTCCAAAATATCACACATCTTCACAAAAAATGTCAAAATTTCATTCCCAAATATCACAAATTTTCATATACAAAAATTTCCATCAAAACCCAACCAATTTAAACCTCCTAAAACTCAACCCTTTTCCCTATGTTCACCACCACGCGAGAATTTTCATGAAAAACTTCATAATTTCATTTCCCATTTTATTCCTAACTATCACACACCTTAAAAGAAATTCAAAATTCATTCCCCATTTTACTCCAAAATATCACACATCTTCACAAAAAATTTCATAATTTCATTCCAAAATATCACCCATTTTCACCAAAAAATTTCCATCAAAATCCACCCACCCACAGAAAACCCAACCACTGCAAATCTCCTAAAACTCAACCCTTTTCCCACTTTCACCACGATCCGAGGATTTACGAACGCAACTGGGCCGTCCTTTTGCCTCTCTGGTTTTCTGCTTCATTCAGAAACTCGTATTCACTTGTTGGTTACTTTACTTTGTATACTCACTATTGGCAAAAAGCGAGGAGCTTTATACACATTTTACTTGAACCATTCACTTGCTTACCAAGCCTACTCCTGCCCGTACAAAATTTATATCTCTGCTCTTCGCTTGCCTGCATGGCTCTCAAAAGCAAAACTTAAAACGCGTTTTTATTCTTTATCTCTCTCACAGCTCAGAGTTACACGGAGCACGACACACACGCAAAATATCACCACTCGCGAAAATATACATTTGCAAAATTCTTCTTCATTTTGCAAACTTAACTAACATCTCATCCTTTAGTTCGGTATTAATAACTGTGGTTTTTTTAAGAGGCAACTTCAGGAAAAAAAATTCCGAAGAAAAATAATCACCCAGCTTTTTTTAAAATTAAAAATAAGAAGAAGAATCCTAATTTTTGAAATATTATCAAAATATTTAAGATACACATTTAAAACCGGATTCTACTTAAATTTACGAGCAATTACACAAACAACATCTACAGTATTTTGGAAAATAATAATATCAAAAACCTAATTTATTTCTGAGCGGAAAATAAGTTCGACAAAAGTCAAAAAGTAAATAACAAAAGTTTGCTGAGAAGAAAAATACACATTTATTTTCCAATTTATCTCCAATAATTTACCTATCTTCGAATGGAGATAAGATAATTTAGATAACCAACTACAATTAAAAGTGTGAAACTACTAAATGAATAATTAAATTAAACTAAACTGAGAGAATCTTCTCCTCAACAAGAAACACCTCAACTTTACCTTATCGTCATTCATCCCTTCTTCTCCTCATCATCTTATTACCTTATCTTCCTCAAACTTATCAGTGAACCCAGTCACCTCGTCGTTCCCAAAATTCAGCAAAATAGGCAACATAACCGCCGTCATGCAAGACATCCACCCCGACGTGGTGACCGCGGATCAGTTAGTGAATGAGATCCTGCGACGACAATCACTGTCAAGGTCGTCACCATCGTCAAACTCGTCGTCCTCTGTCCCCACACCGGCTGACGATATGACGGACGGAGGCGGCGAGATGGAGGGGAGTCGTCGCGGCTCATCCGCGACCGCGACGGTGGACACGTTCGAGCGCGCCATGTCCGTGGAAGAAGAGGAAGAACCCGCCTCCTTCGCGGCGACGTCGTCCGAAGTGGTCATTCTGGATTGTCAGAATCCTGTCGATTTTCAAGAGTGTCATATTCGAGGGTGGGTTATCAATGATACTTAATTATTATGCAAATTTTAATGATGATAATTTTGATTTTAGAGCTCTCAACGTCACCTTTCCAGCCATCATGATCCGGCGAATTGCTGCAGGGAAGATTGACATTTTCGAGAAGAGTAAGGAGCTCAAGGCGAAAATTGCCAATGCCAAGATCACTTTCGTCGTGTATGACGGCTTCCAACAGAATGTTTCTTGTGGAGGGACCATTCCAAGTGGGGTCGGGGATGGAGAATTGTCCGAATTGGTGCATCTCATTGCGAAAAAATTGGCACAGAATGGCTGCCCGGTTGCGACGCTTAATGGTGAGTGACATAATAAATAATGGTGCAAGGGAGGTCTCCCAGCGGATGCGGTCCGATTTTGACGAAAAATTAGTGTGAATCGATGGAAAATTTGGTTAGGATGAAATTTGCGAAAGACACGATCTCCTAATGGGCACGTTTGGCAGAGACATTTGCATCCAAAGAGGAGAAAACGCCTCCGAAAGTCGACAAATTTTACCCTTTCCAAATTTACTGCGCGTTTTCTCCTCTTCGGATGCAAATATCTGCGCCAAACGTGCCCATTCGGAGACTCGTCTTCTGCAAATTTTATCCTAACCAAATTTGCCATTGATTCACACTAATTTGCTGAAAAATCGGACCACATCCGCTGCGAGACGTCCCTTCTTAGTCTCAAAATTTCCCAAAAAATTGACAATTTTTCTTATCCAGGGGGACTTTCAACCTTTCGAGAACAATACCCCGAATGGGTGGAGACATCCGAGAGCAAGAAAATGTTGGCGGCGTCGGCCAGCTCTTCGTCAGCGGAACCCTCCCCGGATCCCGCTTATCGGCCGGGGGAAGTCCCCCTTTTGGGGTTGGGGAGCTTAGCCTCCCTCAAAATCCAGGATGACCCGGACGCTTGCGACTCTTGCATCGGGCTGGACCCCGACGATGTGAGTCACCTTAGTAATTATTACACCGTAAGTAGAGTCGTTTTACCCCTTTTTAATTTTACTTATGTAGCAATTATTTCGCATCCATTCTTTTTAATTTAACTTCGCAATTATTTCGCATATCCATTCATCTTTTATGTTTACATACTTGGTTCTCATCTTATCGCATCCTCCTCGTCGTCCATCCTTCCTATTTTTTCTTTCGTACACTAAATACTAAATCAACACAACCTTTAATCTGACATAATTGTATTTGATTTGAGTATCTTTTCGTTATTACGAGAGGACCAAACTACCACCACCGCCATCAGTGGCGGCGGAAGCCGTGGGGATGGGGGGCAGTAACACTGATGCATTTCACGGTTGCCTTTGTAACTCCGTAATCAAGTAAATTTACGAAATTTTGACAAAATTTAGGAACATTTCAAACATAATTTTTGCTTACAATTTTACAAAACCTTACGAAGATACATAAAAAGCATGTTTTTCGTTTGTATTCGTAAACATGAGTAAACTTGCGTGGTTACGAAAGCTGACGTGAAATGCCTCATTTTCAGGGATTATTTGATACTTAATGGCCGCGGAAGCCGTGGGGACATAAAAATTGTAAGATAGGGGAGGGGAAGGCTGGGTTTATGTAATATAGTGGGGGGGGACAGACAGACATTGCCCCCCTGTCCCCTCCAGCTTCCGCGCTCACTGTCCACCGCCACCACCCGTTTACTTTACTTTTCCTATTTAAGCTTACTACATTTTTGTTAATGTCACCTTCATTTTCATTCATTCCCATTTCCATTACGATGAAAGAGTTTAGTTAAATAAGCCCTAAAATCAACCATCCAACCAACCACGAACTTATCCCATTTGTGTAATTATTTATCTGTTTACTGAACCTGCCTGCTTACTGATTACGATACCACGATACGATCCATCCCCTTTTCATACAGAATAATAATGCCAACAAAATCTCGTAATTGCATGTTTACTTTTACTTCACTTACATAATTCTGGTGGCACAAAAATACAATTTTTTTTCGTAATCTTCATCCATAAAGTATGTGAACTCCTGTAAAAAATGCAGGAATCACCCAATTGACAGGCATAATTTGGGTCATAAAAATGCAATTTTGCTTCACTGTTACTGCCAAATCAAATTTAAAAATTCAGGGATTCAGGGATCATTTACATAATTTTGGTCGCACAAAAATGCGATTATTTGGCTTTTTCAGCTACTACGAAATCAATTTTTAGCCCGAACCAGGGCTTATGTAATCGTCATGTCCGTCCGTCTGTCCGTCTGTCTTTCGATAACTCTCGAACGAGTTGACCGATTTGGACCAAATTTGATACAGACATGTATCTGGGCAATGCAACGACCGAGTTCGAAGATGGGTTCGATCAGAAAAGTTTTGGACCGGTGGGGGCCATCGGAGTGGGTGGGGTATTACGCACCAAAATTTCAAAATTGTCGTAGAAAGCTGAAATTTGGCACAGAGGTTGCTAATGGCTCCTAATAGATAAAAATGAGTTCAAGTTGGAAAAATTTTCATCTTGAGTGACCCTAGGGGGTGGCCCATACTGATTTTTCAAAATCGTCATATCGAGCTGAAATTTGGTGGAGAGTTTGCTTGTGGGTCCTAATGGAAGAATATGACATGAAATTGGTAAAATTTTTATCTAGAGCGACCCTATGGGGTGACCCATATCGATTTTTAGAAATTAACATAGAAAGCTGAAATTTGTACCAGAGATCCAGACTGCTTTCTCATGAAATAATATGAAGTTAAATATACTGAGAAACATGGGTTTACTAATCCTGGTTCGGGCTAAGCAAAGCTGTACTGATAGGTTTTTTAAATGCAGGAATCACCCATTTCCATAATTTTGGTTGCAAAAATGCCATTTTTTCGTCACAAGCTACTGCGAAATCAAATTTTTTAAATGCAGGAATCACTCATTTACATATTTTGGTCACTCAAAAATGCATTTTTGCCTTCTCCATCTGAAATCAAATACTTCCAAAGATTTCAGTAATCACCCATTCATTCTAAAAACAAAAAACAAGTCCGATTCCGGCTAAATAATCACTTAAAAATGAATTACTCGCCCGTAATGAATGTCATAAAAGTCCACAATGCCAAAATAGGTAGGTACTGACTGACATCGTCCTTGTCGTGGCTTAAATTGCTGTACACTCATTTTAATTTGAAACGGATACCTACACAAAAATCTATAAAATTCGATTGAATGTTTTGTTGTTAAATAAGTAGGATCGATCGATTGTTTAATTTACAAGGCTCAAAGTTTCAAATGTTCTTGGTGCCCCACATAATTTATTTTAAGTATTCCTGCTTTACCTAAATACAATATTTACGTATGTAATGTCAGGGCTTAGGGAACGTGCATAAATTATGTCAGGCAAAAAAATTCCGATTTTTCAGACCCTCAACTTGTTCAAAAATTTAGTTTTCTTTCAAAAATCAGTCATCCGGATTTCTGACTGAAAAATTTCATTCAAATTCATTTCATTTCACTTCATCCGACTTCATTTTTTACTTCGCCACAAGTATTAAGCATATGGTGAAAAATAGAAGGAGTGAAAAATCCTTTCATTCACAGTCATTCATCTGAAATGGCGTAATCCTTCAGTCATTTTCATTCACCATCATAATTTAGTCAAATGAATGAAGGTGAAGAGGTATGCCTTGTCACCCACCTTTAACATGTGGGGCAAATGGGACTATCACCCGAAGCCTTTACCCTCAGCCCCGACATAATTTATGAACATCCCCCCCCAATAGTATTCCTGCTTTACCTAAACACAATATTTACGTAATGACAGGCCTTCTTCATGGTATATATAATTCCTACTTTACCTAAAAACGTACACATTATTTTATTATACATAATATCAGCTTAAGTATAATGATAAACAGGAAATCGTCCAATGACCCAGCAAGTAAGCAAGCAAAGGCAGCAGTTTTATCGTAATTTCACCATTTCCTTTCATGGAAAATAAACATGGGAGAAAACTTTTTAATTAAATTTGTCCCAATTTCCCTTTCCGAGAAAGTTTTTCATATTTTTGTTCCCCTCCCTTTGATTCCTTGCTAATGAGCATAACTTCATTTTCTCTTAATAATTCCCAGACTTCGTTACCCATTTTTTTTACTAAACTAAAATACCACGCAAAACGTAGTCTATTTACATAAATACGTCACAAAAAACAGAATTAAATCATGTCGTGGTTGCTTATTAGTTCAATTTTGGAGTCAACTTTTCACAATAAAAAGTAAACGAATGGATGAATGAATGAATGAATGAATGAAATGAAATGAATGACTCGAAAAATGTGAAGTGTTCTCCGAACAAGATTAGATTAGATTAATGGATTTGTTGTCGATTCGTATGTACTGAAATTCATCTTCTAGTCAATCAGACTGGGATAAATTTACGTCTTTTTTACTACTACTGGATAGCACAATAGCCTAATTTTCCTCCATTTTAATGCATACAGTCATTCTCCTTCTCATCCGACGCTCCGTTGTTGACTTTGGTCGAGGTTTTCGTGTCAATAATACGTAATGCGAGACTCAAATCGTCTAGACTTTTGTAATTTGCTCCTCTTCTTCTTCTCCTTATTTGCGTACACGCTTAAAAATCTGGTAATACTCCGTGTTGGTATTGATTTGGTAATAACTTGCTAACGGATTGGTAGTTTGTTTCTTCTCCGTGGTAAATTTTTCATTACGACAACATTACTAAATGCCCGTTATTACCATGCCGGTAGAATCATGTACTTCCGCCAGTAATGATTTAATACTAGTTTTGAGAAATGCACGACATATTGATACTGATTTAGTAATAATCTCCTTCCGGATTGGTAGTAATTTGTTTCTCAGTGGTAAATTTTTCATTACCACGACATTTCTAAACGGTAATGCCTGTTATTACCGTGCCGGTAGAGTCATACATATATTAACTCTGGCCAGGAACGATTTAATACCAGTTTTCTAAGAGTACAGAGTCAGATATACACGCCGTACTGGTATTGATTTGATACTAACTTTCTACCCGATTGGTTGTAATTTGTTCCTCACTGATAAATCATTCATTACCACAACATCACTAAACATGGCAATGTTCGTTATTACCGGGGATAAATCTATACATACATATACTCCAGTCAGTAACGATTTACTACCAATTTCTCAGTACCAAATTTCTGAAAAATTCAGTACCACAACATTTCTAAACGGTAACCCTCATTACTACCCGGGCGGGTAGAAACATACATGTACTCCAGCCAGTAATGATTTAATACCAGTTTTCTAAGAGTGCATTGTATCAGCAGCGTTACCCAATTCTGCATTGAATTGCAATTCGAACCCCTCTGCATAATAACAGGAGGAAAGGATAGCAAGATCGTAAAAAAGGATAGCATTGCCTCCCTTTTTTATTTATCAGACTGTTTGGCGTTGTTGTGTTTTGTTCTGTATGATAAGTAGTAAATAATAAGGAGGTTCTCGATCTAACCTCTTTTTTGTTGAATGTTTGTCCGTAATTCGATAAGGCTTTTCTCTTCTTATCTATCAATCAAACCAGGCCTATTGTGCAAACAAAACGTAATATTTAACTAACAAATGGTATCAATTTCGTTCTCTGGGATGAATGAATGCTTGGTTATCATGCATTTCGTTCCTTATCTTCGACATTTTGCCATCCTGTTAACGTTTTTTTTAGTTCAGTGTGTATACACAAGGTTTTTGATACTTCGAAATAAGGAAATTGCAGTTTTTTTATGTACAAATGCTGAATTCACGTGCGTCTGAATTCGTCCATTGACGTATCGGAATGATCACTCATCACATAACCGAATTTTTTTTAACGATCTTACTGGTGAATGACGACAGAGTAACAGACTTTGTGTATACAGTGGCCGCGGAAGCTGGAGGGGACAAAAGAGGGGCAATGTCCCCCACGCTTATTGAATCTCCGGATCATCTCCCCATCTTATATAAACCCGGCCCTCCCCCCAGCCTACAATGACAATGTCCCCAGATGTCCCCACGGTTTCCGCGGCCACTGAATATACAGATGTCGGGTGGGTATCAATGTATTGGGGTAAATGAGCTATGAAGCATATATCGTATCGTATCGCTTAATTTTGTTTACATTGCTTAAAGGAAAGTTGTCTGGTTTTAACCAGTTTATTGAGCCTGCATACATACAGATAATCAATAAGAAGATGGATTAATTTCACCCCAACATTTGATGAATAGCAAAAAGTATTTACTAGTTGATATCATTTGGTCGTCTCGTAATAGATAAGTGCAGTAGCGTTGTGCAAGTGGCATGGCATGAAAATGCAAATTTTTCGCATTTTTTGGTATTTGCATAACATGGAGTATAAATTTAAATGAGGGACAAACTGGGCAAACAATCACAAGGTCATTGTCCACCCACGCCTAGAGGTGTACCAGCAAAAGTAAAATTGCATGGTTTCGATTTCAGGATAAGTTTCCTGAAAATTTTTTAAAGGACTGGTCATTAATTTAAATATGGGGATGCCACAAATACCTTGATTGACCTGCGAAAAACGGGGATTTCTTATGCACCTAGATGTATAAATTCCATTCTGCACATTTGACCGGATCGATCAAACTTTACGAATTGCATTGATATTTATACTCCTCCACCGCATACAAATATTTTTCTTAAACTGGGAGCACAGCGAATTACAGGTTGTTTTGTTTCAAACACAGAACAAACAGGATGTTCCATTGATTATTTCTAAACGGCTGCGCCATTATTTTAACAATTCTCCACTTTTATTACGTATTATTACATGTAAACGTCTGGTTAAAGAGAGGATGTATTAAAATACCCCGGGATATTTACGGTCGGTGGTCGTAATACATACATACATAAGTTTTCATGGCGTCTGTAATTCTTGGAAGTAAATACATATATATTACATACGTATCCATGCATATACACATGTAGCGTATATAAGTACACACTTAGAAATCCGGTATTAAACTAATACCAAGCGGTATTCATGTATGACTCTATACAAAGTGGGATTGATAAGTAATACAGTGTAGTAATAGCTCAGTATTAAAGTTTTAATATTATATCAGTAGCAGTTTTTTACGGACCGGTATAATTTTAATACCAAGCGGTAGAAATTTTAATACCGAGAAATCCTGACTATACCAGACTTCTAACAGTGTAGAAATCCAGTATTAAATTAATACCAAGCGGTAGTCATGTATGACTCTACTAGAATGGTAATACCCTGTAAATAGTAGTATCAAAGTTTTACCATATCAGTAGCAGATTTTTATTACCAAGCGGTAGCAACTTTAATACCGAGAAATCAATAGCTGCCTGACTATACCAGATTTCTTAGAGTGTATGTTGGAGTTTCTTTCTGCGCGGTAAATTTTTCATTACCACAACATTATTAAACGGTAATGCTCGTTATTACCAGTGCTGGTAGAGTAATGTACTCCAGCCAGTAACGATTTAACACCAATTTTCTAAGAGTGTATCTCTACAGACTCCTGTAATCTCCCATGTCTGCCAGTTTAACGTAAAAATCTCCCTTTTATCAAGCCAGGTCATCTACTCACTCACATTTCAATAATCGCATCCTGCCACTTGGACGGAAAATTCGATTCAATTCACATCATAAAATGAACACGATTGCAAAATAATTCGCATCCATGGGCGAATTTGCAGACAGACGACCGCGAAGATTGCGTTACTACATTCATTCCACATTTATTAAACAAATAGAATTATGACACATAAGTTTTGGTGACGCAGAATTTTAATTTAATTTGTTTCTCATCTCGTAGAAAGCAGAGTTGGATGGATCGGCTAGGTAGCAAAATTTGGAGGAAATTCTGGTATAGATTTTAGCGAATAAACGAGTTACGAACTATTTCCTATATCAATTTACGTACGTAGGAGCAGCCAAAACGTGGGTGGGTGGATTGGATATTAGACATGCAGTGGCCGCGGAAGCAGGGGGACGACAATGTCCCCACGGTTATTCAATGTCGACATGTTATACAAACCCGTCCCTCCCCCCATCCTACAATGGCAATGTCCCCCCATGTCCCACGGCTTCCGCGGCCACTGTAGATATACGATCAAATTTTACTGTGCAGTGTATCCAAACATAATTTATTTTAGTCAAACAAATTATCTCCTATTTTGGGCTATTTATTAAGTGAATCGTTCCTGTTTACTATAGTGGAGAAGGAGGAGGTGGATGCGAACCATATTGTGTTACGTATTTATATGCAAAACAGGCCAATTTAGGCTCATTTTACCATGAAAATGAATAAATACACGACAATTGTCATCCCTGTATTGTTTGACTTACATAATTTTTGCCAGTGCCAAAAATAAGTGCAAATAAATAATTAGGAGTGTACACATTTATTTAAGGAAATTGAATGAACCTCAATGCATGAATTTCCTACGAGAGCTAAATTTATTTAATTATTTTATTTTATTCAAAAACTACGGTTCATTCAAAATTAGTATGGATTACAAAAATCTGATAGGTTATTTGGCGGATGCTTTGTATCCATTACTTGATTTTGCAATTACATTATTATACAAATACATTATTTTGCAACTTCCACCTTATTTTCATTTAAAAAATAGAATACAAATGCATCTTTAGCGATTTAACCTTAAGAAATTTAACCTTTAAATTTTTTTAGGACTTTATACACATTAATTTTGAACGAACAGTAACCTCAAAAATTTCTAGATATATAATTTGCATAATTTTTTATTTAATTTTTGCAGGCATTTCCGGTTGAAATAATCCCGAACCTGTATCTGGGTAATGCTTCGATCAGCAAGGATCAGTCCCTTCTGGAGAAGCACAATATCAAGCACATTCTTAACGTGACGCCCGACCTCCCCAACGTCTTCGAGGGCACCATACGCTACCTCCAAATACCAATCTCGGACCACTTCTCCGACGCGTTCAGAATGCTCGGCTACTTCATCCCCGCTATCCAGTTTATCGGTGAGCAGAAACTGTTTTCAGAAATTTTTTAGTTTTAAGATAATGCATAGATTATGAATTTTTGGGGGCAAAATTAGAATTTCTGATTTTAAGGAAGGTTTTGAATTTCTGATTTTAAGGCAGATTTTCAATTCGTAATTTGAAGGCAGATTTCTGATTTAAAATTTGAGACAGATTTCCGATCCGCAATTTTGAAGTAGATTTCCGATTTTAAGTCAGATTTCCTGGTTCTGATTTTAAGACAGATTTGCAATCCGTAATTTTAAAGCAGATTTCCGATTCCTAATTTTAAGGCAGATTTTCAATCTATAATTTTAGGGCAGATTTTCGATTACCAAATTTAAGGCAAATTTCCGATTTCTAACTTTACGTAAGATTTCCAATTTCTAATTTTCCCCCAAACTTTCAACTTTATCCTGCTTCATATTTCTTCTTATTTGATGAAAACATTCCCAAAATCATATCAAAGCATCAAAGCATACATTTCATACAAAGGATACATTGCATAACAACCCATCATTGAACCTGAACGAATAAACCAAACCAGTTTCAACTGCTTCCAATTTATCATTACAAGTTCAAAGTTTGGACCCAATTGTAAAACGGATTTGCTATTTTCTCCACAACAACTTTCACTCTTTCAAAACAACCTCATTATTTCCATTACATGCGTACCTACACACATTCTCGATTAAATAACGAACCAATGGTATTCCTCCCTCGAAATGTCATGTCATGTGTACAGACAGTCTCGTCTCAAAATTGTCAAATGATTATTTGTCAAAAAAAGAAACTTTCTCCCAGAAACTTTCACCTTACAAAATAACTTTGTACGTGCGTAGATACCTAGTCAATTAAATATTCCTCCCTCAGAATGAAAGACTGTGCTGTGTCTCGTCTCAAAATTGTCAAATTATTATTCAAAAAAAAAGAAACTTTCACCCAGAAACTTTCACCCGTCAAAACAACTTCAACTCTTCTGTGATGTTATGCTTTCTCTCTCTCCGAAATAAATCCCCCTACACACAAACACACGCGCCAATTATTGCTTTGTCGTCGTCGTCGGTAACAATTGATCAGTGAACCGTGAATGAGGACTCTAAAAAAAAGTTTTTTTTTCCATGAGGATGATGACGTTGGTTATAAGTTCATAGATGTGTTTCATACATACATACGTTTGTTTGTCCTCCTACTCACCGCGCCTCCATCCATTCCAGTTTTGTAAGAGGTGAAGCCCTTTTATATGATTGATATGTCCGTCCGTCTGTCTGTCTGTCTGTCTGTCTGCGCGATAAGGGTTTGATGTGCAATGCATTTAGTATGAAATTTTGAAGCATAAATACTTGATATAATAGCAAAGGTCAAGTTCGAAAATGGGCACTGTAGGTCACACCTGTCAAGGTCAAAAAGGTCACGAAAATGTTAAACTTGACACATATCTTAACTTAAGAGGAAATTTAAGCTCCATTTTGACCTCAAAGGTCACTTGTTTTAAATAATTTCGTATACGTTACGTAGGTTTTTACTCCATCGTTTCACCCCTAGGTTACATGCGTTTTGTGACGCTGCTTTATTTGTATATATGTTGACATTTTGCTCCCATTTTTACCATCCATGTTGACAAATAAAGGCCACACGTACAATCTAAAGGTCTTCTTAAAAGGACGACGACGACGTTCCATCCATGCCCCATTCCACTTCAAAAGAAATCTATAAATCCACCTGTGGTGAATATTGTTTGTTTGTTTGTGTCTGCTCTGCTCTGCAGTTTAAGATTAGTCCTTCCAAAATGAAGATGATTAATAAGTCTCGTACGAAACCGTGTTTAGGGAAAAAGGTCGTGTTGACAAATCCCCGTGGGGGTCGTTGGATTGGAATCGATTAAGCGCGTCAGTGATGGTATTAAAATCATCAATGAAAATTCTGAAAATACATTTCCTAGAAATTTCCTAATGCTTTATTTTGCAATCTCGCCTCGCCTCGCGTTTACCACCCACTCCATTTGATAGATACAAGAAAAGAGGCGAGTTTACTTTCTCTCGTCCATTGCGAAATAAATGGCTTGGGGGAAGAAGCTTTTAAAAAATTGCGAGAGATAAAATGACAAGGAGAGTCGTCAAATTGTGCAAAAAATCGTCCTTGACGGACACCCACGGCTTTCTCGGCAAATCCGTCGAAGTCAGGGAGGGTGGCTTGCTGAAATTGGAATCCCTTGTCATCCTACACTTTTACACTGTACAATACTTACATTTCGAGAAAGCAGTAGCATTAATAACCCGTAACCATGAACCAAACGGTATCGAAGTTATAGGTACGTACGTAACCCACTGATTTTAGGGGGTCGTGGTGGGTGTCAATCTTAAAAAAGTGGCGAAATCAAACACTTTTTTCCCTGTTAGACTATGTATTTTCACGAAAAATGATGGCTAAATATCGAAATTCTACGTACGTAAGTAACCTACTATTTTTAGCGCGTCGTGATCAGGTGGGTGTCGATCTTAAAAAGTGGCGAAATCAAGTACTTTTTCACCCTGTTAGACTATTTTCAGGGAAAATGGTTTCTAAATATCTAAATCCTACGTACGTACGTAAACCACGGTTTTTAGCGCGTTGTGGTGGGTGTCAATCTTTAAAAAGTGGCGAAATTACCTGAGAACTAGTACTTTTCTAGACTATCTTGGCCCAAAACGGTGGCTAAATTCCCTTAGAAACTCCTACTCGTCTGGGACTAATATATTTACTAAAGTTAGATATTTACATTTGGAGAAAGCAGCCGTAGGAGAAAGCATTCCGCATTAATAACCTGTAGCCAAACCGCATTGAAGTCATACTTACGTACGTGTAAGTAACCCACGTTTTTTAGCGGGTCGTGATCTGGTGGGTGTCAATCTTTTTAAAAGAAAGTGGCGAAATCAAGTCCTTTTTCCCCCTGTTAGACTACTTTCACTTAAAAAAATGATGCCTTAAAATCGAAACTCTACGTACATAACCCACCCGTGATCTCGTGGGTGTCACTTTTCTTCTTCTTCTTAAAAAAGTGGCGAAATCCTTTGAAAAACAAGGCCTTTTTTCCCTCAACTGCATACTTTCACTTTAACGAAATGATTGCTAAATTCCGTTAAAAACTCCTACTCACTGGTGACAGTTAGAGATATTTTTAAACTTGAAGAAAGAACGTCTGCACTTAATTATCCAGAGAAGAGTGAGTGGTCTCTCAGAAATAGGAATACGATTTCAACAAAAGCTGTCTGTCTTATATCCAATTTATTAAGGCGAGCGACGTTGGTTGGTATGTACTTTATCTATGTGGGTAGAAAGGAAAGAATGGGATGTGGGCGTTTAGAATTTCTGAGATTTGCTCTCATTCTCCTCGTGCACACATTTTTTTAAGGTCTAGGTTACCATAAAAAACGTCATATTGAAATCATTTGCTTAGTAAAATTATATTAGAATGTCCACCCTTTTAAAATCAATTGTGGTAAGTGAATTATCCGTCTGGATTGAATTATCCCACGTTCGCGAAATAATGTACAATGAACGTCAACGTACTCACGTCAAATTTCGCAAAACTTCCCTAGTTAGTTTGGCCTGCTGAATTCAATTCTGCTCAATTTTCGAAATTTTGCGAAACTTTTACTGGATTTTTTTTTCGCAAATTTACCCAGAAAATGTTTTTATTTCGCCAAAATTATTTCGCAAATTCATCCTCACCATCAGCAGCTAGAGAAATTACAGAAATCCGTGGCAAAGGAGGTGAAAGTAAATTTACAAAGTCATATTTTGCAAATTCTGTTACAACATTAACTTTTTAAAGCGTTTTAAAGCTGTTTCTTTAAATTTGCGAATCACATTACAACATAATCTTTTTTGCAACTCTGTCGTGAATACACCCACAAATTTTTGCCCCCTCGATAACACCGTGGATGGATTGCTACCTAAAATAAAAGTCATCTTAATTACCCGATTCGTCTTCTTATACTTTCTCCACGTAGCAAATTTCCACTTTCACCATCGAAACGTAAATACGTATTTATTCTTTGAGTGGATTTATGTTGAGTGCTTCTTTTGCTCTTTACTTTACTTAACTTTCTGTTCGCTCTTTTACTTGTTGACGCTGCTAGGTTAATGATGCTTGAGGGTCGGCGCGTGTACAGAGTGAGACCTTGACATGTAGCACTTGATTATTATCCGTTCCATCTATTTTGCACTATTTTTGACCCCTTTCACAACCTCTCTTCGATCCCCTGCTGCTCATTCTCTTTGAGTGACAAGAATGCCAAATTATTGTGCGAAAAGTTGCGCAATCCAGGTTGAAGGTAGGATCAGTTTTTTTTGTTGTTGTCCCATTCAGTGACAGGTTGGGCAATAGTCATTTTTTAAAGTGGTAGAAAATTTCGACATTTCGTTTCCTAAAAATAAATAAAAAAAGAAGAAGATGTACTTTATTTTTTACCCTTCACTCACTCCTCCAAGTTCATTCCGCTCTCTTTTTACTTGACATTGAACAAAACCCACTTGCTTTCTCTCGTCGCTCGTAAACTTCGGAATTTTTGTACACTGTAAAAAAAATCTGGTAAAGTCAGATATATACTCCGTACTGGTGTTGACTTGGTAATAACTTCTTCTACCGGATTGGTAGTAGTTTGCTTCTCCGCGGCAAATTTTCCATTAAACAACAGTACTAAACATAGTAATGCTCCTTATTACCAGTGCTAGTAGATACATACATACATACATATACTCTAGTCAGTAATGATTTACTACCAGTTTTCTAAGAGTGTAGAGTTAGATATACATTCCGTACTGGTATTAATTTCTACCCGATGATTGGTAGTAATTTGTTTCCACTTGGTAAATTTTTCATTACCACAACACTTCTAGACGGTAACCCCTGTTATTATCGGGGCGGGTAGAAACATACGTGTACTCTGGTCAGTATTAATGATTTAATCCCAGTTTTCCAAGAGTGTAGTCCACTTTCGGAATTTTGTTCTTATATA